AGAGAGGAGAGAGAGAGAGAGAGAGAGAGAGAGAGAGAGAGAGAGAGAGAGAGAGAGAGAGAGATGAGAGAGAGAGGAGAGAGAGAGAGAGAGAGAGGAGAGAGAGAGAGAGAGAGAGAGAGAGAGAGAAGAGAGAGAGAGAGAGAGAGGAGAGAGAGAGAGAGAGAGAGAGAGAGAGAGAGAGAGAGAGACTAATTCCAGTGGTAAGAGAGATGTATCAGTTCCATTCAGAGGGAGGCATCAGTTCACGCGAGAAGACAAAGATATCAGTTCAGGCGAGAAGAGAGAGGCGTCAGTTCCAGCAAGAAGACAGGGGCATAAGTTTTATTGAGAAAAGAGAGGCACCAGTTTCATTGAGAAAAGAGAGACATCAGTTACAGCGAGAAGAGAGAGACATCAGTTCCATTGAAAGGAAACAGGCATTCGTTCCAGCGAGCGGAAGCATCAGTTCCAGCGAGAACAGAGAGGCATCAGTTCCAGCGACAGCAGAGAGACACCACTTCCAGTGAGAAGAAAGAGGCATCAGTTCCAGTGAGAACCAGTGCGAAGTGCACCTTCACTAAAATTATTTAATTTGTTTTTCTTCACTCAAATATGGATCACTCCCGGCGGGCGGTGTATGGCGTGTTCCATCTGACCAGCACAAAGCTCCCTCGGCGAAACATCAGCACCGCTTCATTCCACTTCCGTTTGGATTCGTAAATAAATAGGTGGTGGCCAGCGAGCTAGCGTGAATCGTTCAGACTCTGGGCCACTTCATGCGATTATTTTGATCGGCAGATACGCGCCACCTGTCGCAGCGCCGATCAATACGCAGGCATGCCTGCGGTGGCGGCGGCGGCGGCGGCGGTGGGTTTTCAGGTGAGCAGACGGCCCTTGTCTGGCGCCCCGCCCCGGCCGGCCGCAAATCGCCGCCGATCAACAGGGCCGTAGGTCCGGCTGGCCGGCCCTGCCTGGAGCCCGGCCCGCGGCGGCCAATCATGGGCGGACGGCACGCAACGGCCCGCCACGGTCGATTGGACTATGTGCCGACTGTGCAGCCCGATAACGGCCGAGGGCGCCGCCGCACACACGCTGACGGGCTCTCCGCCGGCGGCAGGACGCGCAGACCGGGCCGCGAGCGGCGGAGGCGGCCACATTCGCGTCAGGCGTCACAGCTCGAGGCCAGGGGCCGGCTGGTGGGCGGAGGCGCAGCGACGCTGAAGATCGAGCCGCAGGTCTGGCGCCCACACAGCCCGCATTCAGGGCGCCGCCGCCGCCGCCGCCGCCATCCGGCGGGTGCCAGGGACTGCGCCGCTGGGGCGGGGCGCGCGCCGCCACGGGCGGCGGACGCTTCCATCGTCCGTCGGCACTCACCCAGTAAACGATGCCCACCAGCGACGGCAGGATGAGAGCACGGGTGTAGTGGCCCAGCCAGGCGAAGTAGATGCCAATCTTCACGCCGAAGTACTCGGCCACGTCGTCTGGAACGACGGGCAGAGTGCGCACACGGCCCTCCGTCTTCGGCCGAGACAGCCGCGCACGTCCCGTGGAACGCACGGGTGCAATGAGGCGAGCACAAGGGGAGGGACCACCCGCGCTGCAGGACAATGGGCGGGGTTATCAGTGTGGAGCAGGTATTACCAATGTGGACCAGGCACACGTCTTATGGGGTGTTAATGCACAGGGCACATACCGCGCATGGAGCGCGCGGTAGCCAACAAATGGCACAAAAAAACGAACGAATACACGTAAAATAATTCTCCAGCCGTATTGCCATCATTATCAGTGCCGCCGTGCGTACTTCCTGAAAAAGCATCCCTGGATAAAGTCCCAGCAAAGGCTAGCGCTAAACGAAACACAAATCTGACTGTTCCCCATCCATCCTCAGGACATAATGGAACAACGAATTTCGTAGAACGGGGCAAATACATAATTCATAAGCAGATCAAGTCAAGCACTAGGCGTCTGGAGGCAAAACAGAAGCTGAATCGTGTCATTTTGCGAAGGGATTAAAACGTTGTCAACAATGCAAGCGAAATCAATACAGCAGCTAATCATAATTAAGCCGCATCTGATGATTCATAACATCCGCTTAACAACTTCCAGAGACAAACAAAAGTATAAAACAAAGTCCATCTCGGCCGGCACCGTCACGGAAGCCAGCCGTTAAGGCGGCAGCTCCACCGAAGCCATACCCCGGGTATGCTTCGGGGAAGTCGCAAGACACCAGCCGCGCCGCGCCCGCGGCCGGGGCCGGGGCGGGGGCGGCGGCGGCAGGCCGGTGCAGCACCACGGCGCCTGCCATCGACCGCCCGGACGGGTGCCGAGCGCCGTCCCGAGTCGAGACGCACGAGCCCTGCACCCGATTGGATTAGCCGGCCGGCGCGTCGGCCGGCCGCGGCCGCCCGTCTCATGAGCCAGCCGGCCGGCGCCGGCCGGGGCCGGGGCCGGGCCGCAGCCGGCGAGCCAGGCAGCGCCCGGCCGCGCCTCGATAGGTAGGCCGACCCGCCGGGCTCGGCTGGGCGCGCCAGGCTGTGTGACTCGGGGCGGAGCACCACGGACAGGGGACAATACAAAGCGGCTTGTGCTGTCATGGCATCAGATTGAGCGGCAAGGTAATGGCTCGCGGGCAGCTGATGTCAGTTGCCAGCTGTATTCACACTGAGAACCGGGTGGACAGTGAACGAGAAATCTACCATAAAATCATATTGTTAGTTGACCAAGGTAGAAAAGGCATGGTAGTAAGCAGCGTACACATGTGCTTTTACCGATATGCAGTAAACCTAAGACAGCTCTTTGACCGCCTGTTTGAAATATCCACTCCTGCCACCCCAAATTCTTTTTTTAATGCGTCACTCCAAAATATTAGTCACAACAAATCAGAGGACCTGGCTTGGAATGCACAACTAGGGAGCATGGGCTCCCAGTTTGTGATAATGCATGCAATTACTCGAACATAATATCCAAGCCCTCATGAACACCTCAGCAACATCTGGATACGGAAAATATATATCAACGGTATTTGGAGCCCCCAATTAGTTGCACTGTGCCATTATCCTTTGAAAGATTCGGGTAGGACAAAAAGTTAGGAAAGGTCACCTCTCAAAACTGTGGATCAAACGGTTCAAAAACTACGGAAAGCAAGCCCGAAGATGGCCTTTTTGCCCCCGCACACAGGAATGGACTTGAAACCATTCCATTCTGACCGCTATCAAGGAAAACTGAACTCGCATAACATCCATCAAAAGAAAAGCAACGACAGAGAAGACAACCAGCCAGTACATCGCGACGCGTCTCACTGTATGCATGCTTTCTCTTAGCGCTCTCTATGTGTACCCGAAAGTTGAGGTCATTTAGTGGCAAGATTCCGGAAACACATAATTTAAATACGTTATTACCAACCACAGCCATTCTCAGCTTAACAGTGACTGTTCTACGTGATAAGCGAGCTTTGTTCCCCACTGACATATAATATGATGATGCCACTTTTCAGCATTTACGACCAGACGGAGGTGCGAAATCTGGGATTCCTTCAAAGGCAAACTACACCCGGGGGCGTTCCGGCCAGACCCCCCTGCCCGCCGGGACTGGTACTCAGCATCTCGCGCCTCAGACCAGCCGAGGACAGGGTGGCCTACCGGCGCAGCGGCCGGCCAGATCCCCACCTGCCCACCGGGACTGGTACTTAGCATCTCGCACCTCCGGCCAGCCGAGGAAGAGTGGCGCACCGGCGCAGCGGCCGGCCAGATCCCCACCTACCCACCGGGACCGGTACTTAGCATCTCGCACCTCAGGCCAGCAGAGGACAGGGCGACGCACCGGCGCAGCAGCCGGCCAGATCCCCACCTGCCCACCGGGACTGGTACTCAACAATTCGCACCCCCGGCCAGCCGAGGAATAGTGGCGCACCGACGCAGCGGCCGGCCAGATCCCCACCTGCCCACCGGGACTGGTGCTTAGCATCTCGCACCTCAGGCCAGCCGAGGACAGGGCGGCGCACCAGCGCAGCGGCCGGCCAGATCCCCACCTGCCCGCCGGGACTAGTACTCAGCATTTCGCACCTCAGGCCAGCCGAGGAATAGTGGCGCACCGGCGCAGCGGCCGGCCACATCCCCACCTGCCCGCCGGGACTGGTACTTAGCATCTCACACCTCAGGCCAGCCGAGGACAGGGCGGCGCACCGGCGCACCGGCGCAGCGGCCGACCAGATCCTCACCTGCCCGCCGGGACTGATACTTAACATCTCACACCTCAGGCCAGCCGGCGACAGGGCGACGCACCGGCGCAGCGGCCGGCCCCCTGCCCCACACCGGCGGCACCCATCAGCTGCGGCGGCTGAGCCGGATTACGGCGCGCCTCGCCAATGGCCCTCAGCAGACGGGCGGCGGCTCAGCCGGTCGCCGCCGTCTCGCGGCCATACATCACGGACGGATGAGTCGAGCCGTGCATATGAGCGCCGCCCGCCGAGCGCGCGCGGCGCGTCGCCGTAATTCGCGCGTCGACGCGCCACAATCAGGCGGGCGGTGAGCGGCGGCCGCCCGCGGGCGCCGCGGTCGGCTGATCGATGCTGCTGGTGCCCGGCCGAGGACACCCTCGTCACGCGCGTGCTCTCAATGGCGACGCGGAGAGGCCGAGTACCGGGGCTAGACAGGCGCGAGGATACCAGGGACCGGCTTCTAACGGCGCCGCGGAGCAGGTGGAACGGGAGACTTGGGAGAAACTTATGCTCAGGACAATGTCGCAAAGTAAGTATACAAACTTGCCATTCACCCTGTCATTCAAGCTTTTTAATACGCAGTTGACTACAAGACTCCCCACAAGTGGCCCCTTTCACTGCAATTCGACATTCGGAGTTTTGAGTACTTGAGTTGAGGCACCACACCAACGGACCACCAGCAGAGCGTGCCGCGTCGCGCGGTCGCCGCGGTCCGTGAGCTCACCGAGCGGCTGCCGCCTGGCGAAGGCGCGGACCCAGCCGGTGTTGAGCCGCTTCAGCTTGCTGAGGTCGTGCAGCGGGAACATCTGCGCCACCACGCCGCGTGACAGACACTTGGGAACTGCGAACGACGCGGGACGGCGGTCAGGGATGACGCTCGAGCGCACTGCCGTCACCCGGCGGCCGCGCGGGAGGCGCGGGGACGGCACGGAGTGGACAAGCACGCGGAGCAGTCAGCAGCAGCGCCGACAGCGCGATGGACGGAGCCGAGACACGGCGTCACATGCGGCGAGACAGGACGAGCCTGCCTGAGTGAGGCCGAACTGGGGCCGAGTGACGGTGATCAGGTGTGCGGCGGTGACGTACCGACAGTGGGCCCGTGTGTGTGTCTGTGTCATTGGGGCTTTACGACGCACTCAGCTGTTGAGGCTATATGGCGTCGCCTGCCTCTCACCCTGGCAGGAAGAGCAGGCACCGCGGGGAATCGAACCTTGTACCTCTGGTTTCCCAGACGCGCAGTGGTTAACGCAGACGCGTTAACCACTACACTAGCCGGCACCCCTGACAATGGGCCCGTCCACGTGGCATACTTACTAATGGCCTGTCCTTCGATCAGTTTGAGGCCTGCGACCGACTCGCCCTTTGACGCCCGCAGGTTGTTGATCATGCACAACACCAGGCTCTGTCGCTCCTGCAACAATGAAAACGTTCATTGCCGTGCACCAATCACAAAGGTCACAAAACCAGCCTTACACTCTTGTAAACATCGCCAAAAGCAAGGTTAGCATGACGGCTGACAGGAGGGCGCAGAGTCATACCTCTGTTGCGCTAGAGGGGTTCTCTATCACGGCAGGCGTCCCGCTTGCCGGAGATGACCGACAAGACAGCACGCAGCCGTGCACCGCGGGACTGTGACCGCGGGACTGTGGGAGGGGTGGCGCTATACCTCGCCCGGAGACTGGTCGCAGACTCTACGGAACTCGGCAGACGACACCGGCCAGCTCCGAGATCAGCGCACCTGCGCTCCCACAGCTCACGCCGCACACCGAACAGTTTACACCGGACACCAAACAGCTCACAACAGATACCGAACAGCCACACCAGACACAAAACAGCCCACACCGCACACCGAACAGCTCACACCGGACACCGAATAGCTGACACCGGACACAGAACAGCTGACACCGGATGTCGAACAGCTCACACTGGACACCGAACAGCTGACACCGGACATCAAATAGCTCACACCGGACACCGAATAGCTGACACCGGATGCCGAACAGTTGACACCGGACACCAGACACCCGACAGTCCACAAGGGACGGCTAACGTCCGCCGGCGCAGCGGCCGGGGAGGGGCGGGCCGGGGACGTACAAAAGCAGTGGTGCGCCAGACAAACGCTCAGAATGCGACAGCGTCGGGCGTCAGCCCCAACAGCGGCCGGGCATGGACCCTACAACTGTACGGGCAGCAGCGCAGGGCGTCTAGCGCATACCCGGATCAGACGGACATCGGCTGGACATCCAAAAGTGCAACGACACAATGTCCCGGCTCTCGAACCGAGGGATAAGAGGGGCTCGCCCATCTCACGACTGAAATGAACATTTAAGGTAGGCTGAAATGTATTCTGGAGACGCACCTAACATGGGTGGGTTTGGTTAATGCGGCTCACCGTCTCCAGTCGTATTGTCTGTCTCCACAACTCACTGTTCTCTAATACCTGTTTGGAAACGGGTGCATGATATGGGTCTTCTGGAAAGAAGGTTTGTTATGAACATCCCTGAACCTAAGTGAGCTGGTAGTTCGCCATCACCCTTAAGTGGACACTTCTGGGGACGATCAAGGGCCCCGTGGAAGCTATTAACCTTGCCTTTCCGGGGCACAAAATCATAAAACGTGACCGGGCACGGGCTATTTCGCCGGAAATACTCGCCGTCAGACATAATTGGCCGAGTTCAATATGGCGTCTGACGCAGCGCGGCTGGGCCGAGTCAGGCCGCCGCCGGATCGCTTGAGGCTCCGATCTCAGCGCTAGCCAGCTAGCAGACGATCCCCAGCGTCCCACCCGACGCGCACCGCATCACCAAGTCAGCCGCAGCGCGCTCCGGCAGCACGGACGAGTCGATAGCGCGCTGCCGGACGCCACCGGACGGCTGCCAAACGGACCGGCTCTACGGCCTCGGGCCTGGCCGCAGCCGAAGACGAGGCGGCACCGAGCCCGGTCGATTTCGGGGGAGGATGCAGGATTTGGCCGGGTGGACGGGCGACGCTGCCTGCCCCATACAAATGGATTTCATTGCCTTTCCGGACACGAGCGAGCGCTCTTCTTCCGCCACATTAATGATGCCGCCGTCGCTTTCTGGCGGGGTTTGGCAGCAGGGAAGATCAAGTGGCGGGCCTGGATTTGGCGGCGGCGGTCGAAAACATCAGCTGGGAGGAGGAAAAACGGAAACGGAGAAGACCGGAGAAACGGCATCAGTCGAGTTCCACACGCGTGGAAGACATCAACACTGCAAGTCCATGTGATGGTCGACTTAAATGGATGTATCAGACAGCAAACAAGACAAGACATGCCACTACGCAGACGACATGACACTACGCACACATGGCACTACGCAGACGACATGACACTACGCAGAAGACATGGCACTACGCAGACGACATGACACTACGCAGAAGACATGGCACTACGCAGACGACATGACACTACGCAGACGACATGGCACTACGCAGACGACATGGCAATAGGCAGACCACATGACGCTGGGTGGCATAAGCAGCCACAGGGTCACCCGACACAGCTTCAAACACATTTGTCGCAATTTTATCGATAAATCCACTCCAGCATAATGATGCAGTCAGCCTCACGCGAGCTTGCGTGCCAACAGTTAAGGATCACGCCTTCCGAAATGTCTCAATGCAGAAGCGCGTTACACAAATTAACCCCCGTGGAGCGGGGGAAAGAGGTGACTCCAGTCAACCGGCGAAGCGACCAAAGGCGGCGCCGTGAACCTTAGCATGGCAGACACTACAATCAACGCGCATGCTCTGAAAAAGCAAGCTCAGTCTCAAGTAACGTCAAGTCAAAAAACTACGTCGCTTTATTTGAAGGCTTGCAGTACCGCTTTTGCAAAATAAACGCTATTTTGTATTCCCCACTGAACGTAAGGGGCCTTTCTGGGAACATCAGGACATCACGATAGTGAAAATGCACACCGGTGACCTTGTAACACGTCAGTGACCTTTCCATGGTCAAGCAGCGTCGATGAAATTTATAAGTTCAAAAATTTCTAAAGCTGAATTAACGACCTTCAATATGCCAGGAGGTACTAGTTAAACAACTTGATAGCGCTAAATGACGATTTCATTGGCGGTACTCAATATTTTGAGATGGGCTCATTCTCAAGAGCAATGAGTACATCTTCCTAAGGATGAGCGCAGAAAGTGATATTGAGTACCGACAATATAACCGTTGTTTGGCCCTGTAACGTCGTTTAAATAAAACCTCCTCCTGGTATACTGAAGGTCATAAGCCAGATTAAAACTACGAACTCATCATACCGGAAAACCGGGAGCTGAAGGTCTTTCTTTCTTTATGCATGATCCATGACGACCTTGATTGACCTCACATCCGTTCTTGACCGCTTCCTTGCACCGGGTCTGTTTGAGGCCACGTTTGCCACTCGATGTTTGCGGAAGTGCCTTTGTGCTCCGGAAGGCAATAATGTGCAACTTCGTGCTTCCAATCATACAGGCTGTCCTGTCCTGGGAATCACCCACTGCTTTCCAGGAGTCAAATTGGGTCATCACTGGATTCCTTAGGCATCAGGGCATCAACTGTTTTTGTCGTAGATGTACCTGAATAACAGGACAACAGGCATATGGAGCAAGTACCAGCCGCTCTGACCAGCGGCGCAGGCGGACACGCCGCCGCCCGACGAGGATGGAGGGACAGCCAACACCGAACGTACCTGGTTCGTGAGGAACGAGTCTTTGTCCTCGAAACCTTCAAAGAAGTTCGCATTCTGCAAGGTGAACTCTTTGAAGCCTCCCCCATGTTCTGCCTTCATTCGCTTCGGTAGCTCGTTCAGCTCCGCCCACTTCAGCAGGCTGTGGAACAAGTCCGTTCGCTGGCACTTTGCCTCCATGAACCGTCCGATTCACACTCACACGAACAAGCGGCACCTCTGAGCCCGCGCGGTCGTCCCGACCGAGCCGGCCTCGCACCATCAGGGGCGTGAGACCTTACACAGGAGCGCCGTCGTCACACAAAAACACAGACAGACGACGCGGGCGCCGGTCCGGGCGCTGGCGTCGGGCGTCTCTTTGGGTACATTTTCAGTGATGTTGGGTGGACCTCGTTAGCTTTCGATTATACACTATAAACGTAAGAACGAGCATGCGGGTGGGCAAGCCATTCGATCTTGTGTGTGTGTCATTCGGGCTTTACCACGCACTAAGCTGCTGAGGCTATGTGACGTTGCCTGCCTCTCACCCTGGCAGGAAGGGCGGGCACCGTGGAGAATCGAACCCCGTACCTCTGGTTTCCCAGACGCGCAGTGGTTAACGCAGACGTGTTAACCACTCCACTACCGGCACCCCAGCCATTGGATCTTCACTGGGTGACGGCGGAACAGCTGAATCAGATACATGGATCACGTGTCGGACTGAAAGATTACCACGCGTATTATGCCGCTAAAAATCGAAACGAAATAAACGCAATGACATCGAGACGCAAGCAGTCTAAGCCTGCAGGACAAACGGAACACTGCCGCTCCAGGGTTTCTCTTTCCAGGAGGCTCTGAGTGCGCCCGAGAGCCGCACGTCCCGCGGCAGTCACCCCCCCCCCTCCCCCCCCTCCTCTGAGCGGGTGACAGCGGCTTTGTCTCCTCAGGCACGGCGCGGCGGCCACGCAGCTCACTAATGTCGTCACGCCATTAGTGGGCGGCGCCGGGAGCGGCCTGCGGCGCCCGTGGCGGCGCCCGGGCCGAGGTGAGGTCGGCCCCTCAGGCACTCGCGGGGGCGTCGTCGGCTGGCGGCACACTGTGCGGCGCCGCTGTCCGAGGGAATCGCCCCCGACGTCGGCAGCGAACATGCAGCGCTCGAGACCGGACAGGCCAATCTCGGAGCCGGGCCGGACGAGTGCGGCCGCTGTCGTGGCGACAGCACGTCAGTCGCACAAGCCGGATGTCGGAGGGCGCCGTTTCGGGATCATGGGTGATGGGATCATCTGCTCAGAAACATGGCCAAGCATGTGGCTGAGCGTCGGTAGAAAAACAAAATTAGTTGGCTCCTGACCGTTGCTTTATTATGTGTATCCTAAATTTTGTATTATTTGGTGGCCGGTTTGCATTCGCAGCCCTGACATGTGACTGCACCCAACCACGCATGTGACGAGGAACAGCAGACGAAAGAGGACAATGACACCGAGACTGCCATCATTTCACACCAGTGTCGCCCTCACAACATCACCTGGGCAAGAACCGTCGCTTTCGCCACACTTCGGGCCAGTTTCTGAACACAATGGCGTCATTACGGGTCGTTGTTTACCATCGTCCTCGCAGCCATTATTTTATTTTATTTTACACATTATTCATCGTGACGGCAGTCCGTCCACGAATATAGACCCACTGCAACTTTGTCTGCAGGCAGTTTGTGACGCCGTGCCGGGCATTGCATACCTATACGGGGCTCCAATCTAGTGAGGCCGGCCGCGGCCCGCCGACCGAGCGCCCACGTCGAGAGGGCCGCCCTACCTCGGCGTGGAGGCGGTGACGTAGAGCCGGTGCGTGTTGTCGGCCGGGTGTCTCCGGGCCGCGACGACCAGGTCCGTGCGCTGCCGTATCCGGCCCATGAACCACTCCACCGTGTCGTCCGAGGTGCGCGGCGGAAACGTCACCACCACGTCACAGTCCTGAGAACATCGACAGGCGACCTCCTGAAAACGTCTGCCAAACACCGCGGCACAGAGCGTCCAGCAGCGCGTCGCTAATGAAGCCGTTCGTAGAATGGCGAAGTCCTGAGAACGTCAGCATCACGTGACAGTCGCAAGAAATGTGACAGAGTGCCACAGCGCTGAGAACGTAACGCTGCCGTATGGCGAAATGTTGAAAGCATTAGCGGCGAAACACGGTGCTGATATTGTTGGAGGGAAGCTGCGGTCCTGCGAGGGCCGCTGAAGTTCTGCCAACATTATCAGCACGCCACGGACCTGAGAAAGCTACTAGTGCCTGGCTAGTCATCAGTACCAGCACGTGATAAAAACAGGAGCACCACAGACTGGCAAACGGCAGACACCAAAGACACAATCATTTTTTGCTATCGGATTTTGTTATTGTGCTCATTTCTTTCATATGCCCGTGGGGGAGCGCAAGCCTCTTTCCGCAGTCAGATTATCTGTTTACATAATGTCGTAAACGACGTCTGCTGGTGGGCGTCGGCCGATCCCACCGTCATCTCATGTTTCGTGCTGTCACCTTCCACTCTGTTCTCATAACGGGAATTGCCGCTGTCTTTGATCGACTAACGTGGGGCGACAAGACTGACAACCGAGACGTGACAGATTTGCGGATAAGACGCCACCGCCCGGTCGATATTCCCCTTGGCCGTGTACCATCAGCTGGTCACCCCGGCGAGCGCACATTCCTCTAATGCAGGCAGAGGGCAGGCTGCCGGCGGGTGATGTGCCGTCTTCGGCGAGCAGGCTGACGACGGACGCGGCCGTAGGGCCGAGGGTGGTGTGCCGTGTTTGGCGGGCATCGATCGCCGGTCATCTCCTCAAATAGCCATCAACGGCCGACGCGCGGGCCGACCGGCAGCCGGCACGCAGTCGGCGCCGTCCCGTGATGCAGGAGAGGACGGCACGCAGTCGGCACCGCTCCGTGATACAGGAGAGGATGACACGCAGTCGGCGCCGCCCCGTGATTCAGGAGAGGACGGCACGCAGTCGGCGCCGTCCCGTGATGCAGGAGAGGGTGGCACGCAGTCGGCACCGCTCCGTGATACAGGAGAGGATGGCACGCAGTCGGCACCGTCCCGTGATACAGGAGAGGATGGCACGCAGTCGGCACCGTCCCGTGATACAGGAGAGGATGGCACGCAGTCGACGCCGTCCCGTGTTACAGGAGAGAATGGCACGCAGTCGGCACCGTCCCGTGATACAGGAGAGGGTGGCACGCAGTCGGCACCGCTCCGTGATACAGGAGAGGATGGCACGCGGTCGGCGCCGTCCCGTGATGCAGGATAGGATGGCACGCAGTCGGCGCCGTCCCGTGATTCAGGAGAAGATGGCACGCAGTCGGCACCGCCCCGTGATGCAGGAGAGGATGGCACGCGGTCGGCGCCGTCCCGTGATGCAGGAGAGGATGGCACGCAGTCGGCACCGCTCCGTGATACAGGAGAGGATGGCACGCAGTCGGCACCGTCCCGTGATGCAGGAGAGGATGGCACGCAGTCGGCGCCGTCCCGTGATTCAGGAGAGGATGGCACGCAGTCGGCGCCGCCCTGTGACACAGGAGAGGATGGCACGCAGTCGGCGCCGCCCCGTGATGCAGGAGAGGATGCCACATTTGCGACAACCGGTACACAGCCGACCACCTCAGGATACAGGAGCCCAGATCAGGCACCGCCACCAGCCAGAACAATCCATGCCGAGGGAGAATCGAGGGCTCTTCGAGTGGCAGGCGGCGGGCGTGCCGACACACGCTGCTGGGCTGTCGTACTCTCACACCACGGACTTCCAGGCCACGTGCGCCTGGTCACACGTAACGACCAGGTCAGCATGACCATGTGTGGGCAATCAACTGCGTTACTGACCGCACACCCAACCGAAGCAACATTTGTCATTCTCATCGACCGCCAGGAAATGTGTCTGCATCGCACGGTGATGACCACACAGGAGCACCATACCATGCGAACGTTGAGGGTCATTCTCCACTACCCGGTTCATTTGCCAGTTACAGCGGGCTTCCACAATGACAGGCCACCCGAGTATGTGGGCAGCCGCATGCGCACCATTGTGGGCGCCTGGCGCGGCCGGCACGGCTGAACAATGCCGATATTGTCCGCGCCGTCCGGCCGCGCCGGACGGCGGCCGGACGGCGGCTCGACGACCGCCGCTCTCCGGCATACTGGGCGGCCGGCGCCGGCTCGGACAGGCGGCGGCCGTGCGCGCCGGCCGAACTGCTGGAGCCAGCCGAACGGGCCCTGCTGAAGCCGGGCGCGTGTTCAGCTGGCGGATGGCCCTAATCGAAAGATCGGTTCGAGGTGTTCTCGCGGTTCGGTTTTGGCGATGTGAACGGGAAGATGATGAGGTTCAACCAAATACCTTTCTGCCCGTATATGTGCGATGCAAAAATGTAGCAACCTCATGCCAAGTCATCTTACTTGGCTGTGTAATGATGGTATCCGCATGGTCTCCTGGGCAAAGGCATAATGACTGACCTCCCTATATGCATTCCTCTGTGAAAAGGGCGACCGTATACCAGTAAAAGGAACGCATTCAGCGGCCGGCCGGCCCGCAGCGGCCGAGCCAGTCCGGCAGACGCCTCGCCGGTTCCTAATCAGCGACAGGACCTGAACGGACGGCGTATCGACGCGGCCCGACTCCCTCCGTCTCCACCAGAGCAGCGCAATCACCGAGACCGACAGCAGAGCGGCGTGGCCGGCCGGGGCTGGTCCACTGGGACGGACCGTCCCGGCGGACCACCGGCAAGGCTCCCTCTCAGTCGCACTGCCGCTGATGGCGCCCCGTCTGCAGCGGAGGAGAGAAATGCACGCGGCGTGTAAAAGCCGACGAAGCTGGAAGAAAGACCTCCGGTCAAGAGACAGAAGACTTCAGCCAGACGGCTGGGATAGCAAGTGGAAGGCCGGAGACAGCGGGGCCTGGCCAGACGGGCCCTCAGGCGGCCTCCATCTGGCGGAGACGACCTCGTCCGACGCCATCGTCACGTCGGGATGAGACATCCCCCGGACCAGTGTGAGGCAGCCGGTCGTAACCATCGCCAGCTGCGGCCAACAGCTGGAGCGGGCGGGCGGCAGACGGGTGGCGACGTTCCCTCCGCGGGCGACGGGGCAGCTCGAGGGCGAGCGCACCGCGACCGCGGCACCAGCCAGACAGCGGACGGGCGACGGAGAGCTCGGCAGACACCGTCGAGGCTTGGATGAGCACCGGGGCAGATCGGTCACCGGGCCACAACGGGCGCCCTCTCGCGGAGGGCCGTCCAGCGCGCGGCACCGGCCGACAGTGGCGCCCCCTCGCGGGGGGCCGTCCAGCGCGCGGCGCCGGCCGACAGTGGCGCCCCCTCGCGGGGGGCCGTCCAGCGCGCGACACCGCCCGACAGCGGAGCCCTATCGCGGAGGGCCGTCCAGCGCGGCACCGGCCCACAGTGGCGTCCTCTAGCGGGGGGGGGGGGGGGGGGCGTCCAGCGCACGGTACCGGCCGGCAGTGGCGCCCCCGCGCGGGGGCCGGCCACTGCGCGGCACCGGCCGACAGTGGCGCCCTCTCGCGGAGGGCCGTCCAGCGCGCGGCGCCGGCCGGCAGGGGGACCCTCTCGCGGGGGGCCGTCCAGCGCGCGGCACCGGCCGACAGTGGCGCCCCTTCGCGGGGGGCCGTCCAGCGCGCGGCACCGGCCGACAGTGGCGCCCCTTCGCGGGGGCCGTCCAGCGCGCGGTACCGGCCGGCAGGGGGACCCTCTCATGGGCGGCCGTCCAGCGCGCGACACCGGCCGCGGCCAGCGCAGCGCCGCCGACGGCGCACGTGGCAGGAGCGCCTCTTGCTCCGGCGATATGACGAGCCAGCGCGCGCGCGCGAAAGCGCAAGTATTTTCGCGGGACGGGCATTACAAATAGGCCGCGTGTATATGCCATTGTGTTAATGAAACTGAGAAGGCGCTGCTTTTATGAACAAGGCGGGCTTGACATCATCTTATTGGCTGGTGATTGATTGGGTATGGGAGTTAACGGGCGCGTCTTGACTGGGTATGGGAATTTACGGGCGCATCTTGATTGGGGTATGGGAGTTTACGGGCGCGTCAACTGTTAGGACCCTTTTGTGCCCATAACGACGTCCTTAACCCATAAGTAGGGTATAAATAACCTTAAAGTGAATGATTTGATTGACCGCAGGCACTTCCGCTCTGGCGTATACTGATGTGGAACAATGCAACGCGTTTGAAAATAACGCAAACATAATAATGACAATCTGACCTAGTCGGAGAGCGACGACTGGGAAATGCATGCTCGTCTATGTAAAGCCACAACCAACATTTACAACTCAAATGACGCGAGAAACCGTTAACCTCTCTTCAACCAAGAATACGTTACGTCCGGTTTCACGTTTCGCAAGACTCAGCAACAAACAATCAGCTTATAGTCTCACAATCCGCAAAGCTCCGCTCTTCCCGAGGTGATGGAACATAAAAGACAGAGATCACGTCGTGGCGCGTGTAGAGCATGCTCACCGCCCGCGCTTCTGACAACTGAACGCCCACGCGTCAGGCCCCAGCCGTCAGCGACGCCGCGGCACCGCGCACGTACCTCAGTGGGCACCTCCGTCATCCACAGGGATTTGGAGGTCATCAGGTGACCGGCCTGAGGAATCCGCCGGCGCAGCATCTTGCCGGCTGCCAACAGGATACGGCTGAGTTAGCGGGAGCCGACGCCAGTGATGCGATTTGCCGCACAGCGTTCCCGGATCTGTGACGTCAGCTGTGGAAATACGGCCGACGAGATATGAACACAATGTATGGGATTCGAACACAGACCATTAACTCAGGTCCGTCGCCAGCGGTCCCATAATCTGCGCGGTTCACTGGCACTGCCTGTCGCACTACACTCCTGTCAGGCGTCTGCGGCGGGACGCGCCGGGACCCGGTCCACGCGGACAGACCAGCTGTCGGTCGGCGCTGGAGCGATGCCGTTCATCGTCGCGGGACAGCCCTCGGGCGACGTGCCGGGCCGAGCGCGAGCGGCCCGGCTTGACGGATGTCCGATCCCATATTGGAGGCGTCGAGAGCGCCGGGACCGAACAAACAGAAGCTGCGCCTTTCGGCTCGCAGAGACGGCGTCCAAATATTATTGGGTTTCGGGTCACTTTGGAGGGAAGGAAAATATCGCACCACGTCAGTGCTGAGGGAGTGGACGTTCAGCATACAGATGGTCTGGTGGTATTTTACGACACGAAAAAAATATCTAGGCGGTTTTTCATTTTCAAGAAGACGGCAAATCTCGTCTATCTACATGGCCTGGCAGCACAGCAATACACCGAGATCCCGACTGGCGGCGGCAGTGAACCTGCGGGGTCAGACCACAAACACTTCAATCAGTCGTCTGGGATGAATGTCCGTCGATGGGATGATAAATGTGCTTCGTGGCATCCGAAGGTGATGGAGACACACAGCAGCCTCGCCAGCCGCCTAAGCCTTGAAGCGGCACCGGCCATCGCACGGCTGAGCTGACTGAAGACACGCTCAGCAGCGGCATTCCGGCTGCAGGATCCGGCTCGGCAGCCAGCGCCCGGGCGCCACAGGCACCCGGACGCGACACCGACCATCGCACGGCCGAGCTGAGCAGCGGCATTCCGGCTGCAGGATCCGGCTCGGCAGCCAGCGCCCGGGCCCCACAGGCACCCGGACGCGACACCGACCATCGCACGGCCGAGCTGAGCAGCGGCGCTCCGGCTGCAGGACCCGGCTTGGCAGCCAGCGCCCGGGCCCCACAGGCACCCGGACGCGACACCGACCATCGCACGGCCGAGCTGAGCAGCGGCGCTCCGGCTGCAGGACCCGGCTCGGTCGCCAGCGCCCCGGTCCGACAGGCACCCGGACGCGACATTTTCCAGTCGTCGTCAGACTTCCGTGCGAGCAACCATACCTTCAACTGATGTACTTAGGCAGTACTACACGTGTCGGCAATACTCGAAATACTAATTGATCACGGAAAGGAACGGGAAAATGTACACAGTCTCCGAGCACAATTAGGTATTCTGGTGTATTCAACACGCTCTTACTACCATCCCTTCGCGAAAGCGTTTAACAGTTACCAGTGACAGAGACAACACGGCCTTTGTTTGAGGAACTGCAAGTCGTTAAATATTTTTTAAATAAAACGTTCTTAATGCAGCAAATGCTTTCTCAATAAAAAGAAAACCACGACCAGACCATCTTGATTATCCTCTACATCATCTTGCTGGTTCTCCTTTTGATCCATCATGCACCCATGATGCATGCTGAAAATGACCCCAAGGTCACAACGAACGTATGCAAAGAAACGACTGGGCCCGACGCCATAACAATCGCTTACAACGAAATCAAAGTCGTCTGATGCTGAAATGGCATATCACTGACATGGCGGAAGTCGGCTAACAAATCGCCCCAGCCATCCGGACTGGATCGCTTCAATGGGGCGACTCCTGAACATGCCGCTGAAGTATGCTAACGCTGTCTGCGACTTAACTCCCGCGCGCGTCATCTCGGTCGCGAAAAACGGGCATGCGCATCAATGCCGACAAAAAGTCAAAACTGAGCATTCACGAAACACGCGAGTTGCTGCACATATGCACCTATTACGTGCTTGTTACCATATTTTTTTTTTGTCTCTCGCCAGGATACACATGCCAGCACCAATACTTATCTAAGCGCTACTAGGAGATGGCAGTTCAAATGCTCTTTCAGACCCGTGTGTCCCCGCGTGACGGCAAGTGGACTGTGCCTCTGTCAGACTGTCAGACTGTGGACTGTGCTAGTCAGCCTCTGCTTCCAGACACTCTGTTATCTTTGACCGCCAACTTAAAGCTCGCGGGCACTTCACCGAAACCGCTCGTGGCGATGCACAGCACTGACATCAGTTAAACACTCAATTCAATTCAATTCAAGATACTCAATTCAGTTCAATTCCATTCAAGACGATTCGGCGCCAACGGCAAAAATGAACATTGCCAGTGGGCATCAAGTCATGCGCCAGGACATTCAGAATTCCTTCCTTTTTCCATTATCACAGATCTCACGTAAGTCACAGGTCTCGCGTTTGTCGCCCCGTGACCCAGCAACTCTGGTGAAGGGGAGAGGGGGGGGGGAAGCTGTGCAGACTAGGTCACGTGATCACAACGCTGCCCCGTGAGTCAGTCTGCACGGGCGGGGCGGGGCGGGGGGGGGGGGCAGTCACACAGCTGTGCGGGCTTGCGCATCTGCGCACGCGGTCAGGAGAATAACGAACCAATTGAAACACCTCCGGAGCAGCCACACCTGAGCTACTGTGCCAGCCAAGTCTAATCGAAACCCACGATCGATCGGAACAAAACAACGCGGCTACTCGGAGGACGGCCGCGCATGCTTTCGTGCACTGGATGAACGTCGCCGACAGAGCGGTATTTATCGGACAACAGGGGGAAGGCCGCGCATGTTTTCGTGCGCTGGATGAACGTCGCCGACGGAGCGTTATTTATCAAACAGGACCCGACGCGCTACGTCCACCGCGCAGCGTCCGGGCCGTGTTGGAAGGACCGGCCCGACGAGTCATGCCTTCGCCCCCCCCCCCTTCCCCCTCCCCCGCAAGGACAGCACGGAGCGCTGAGGGCTCGGCACGCACGGGAGGGAGAGGGAGGACCATGACTCCCGGGCTGAGAGTGTTCGGCGTTATTCGGCTCCCTCGACGACAGTCGAGATACGCAGCGGGCGAGCGAGCGGGCGGGCAGCGGGCGGCGGGCAGCGGGCAGCGAGCGGTATGTTCTACATGTGTCTGCATCGGGAAAACGCGGGTCCGTCGAGACCTCAGCGGGGCTTGATTGGCAAACTTCTGCTGTAACTGCAAACTCCTACAAGTTCATTTAATTCCCGAGCAGAATCGGCTTCAGCAGCTGGTCGGCAGGTTTTGGCTTCAAACTTGGTAATTGGGTCTCCGGCGAACGACCGGCCGTCCACGGGGAAGGCGTGAATTCATTGACGACATCCAGAAAGTATCATGGCACGTTTCGCTCGTGCCGCATGGTGAGACTTCAGAACGCATCACCTTCCAAATGTCGCCCGTCGTCACCACACAACCAGGAGACACCAGCATGCGTCTCGGGCCCGATGACACATTGGGTGCGGTCAGTAAGCATCAACCGTCGCCACTTTGTTCTGCCAAACGGCCCGCACATTTACCTTACGCCACCTGAGTTGTTAGCATTTTGGAGCCTCCTTTTACGCCAGAAGCGACTGCGGTCAGCGACCCCGTGCACTATGACCTCCAGGGGCAGGTTTCCGTGGTCGTGCGCAGCCGACCGTGGAGCCGAGGCGACGCCAGGCAGTCCATGACATTCAAACGGCCACTTCCGTCGGATGACTGAGATCCCCGTGAGGAGGGATGGCGACACACGCTATCGCAATTCCAGACTGAAATGACAGGCGAATCGGAAAATTCCCTGGCGATTCCATTACGGGCGCATTACTTCCTGAAGGAGGGCTCTCCGCCGTCTGCTTCTGAGCCGGGGATTCGCTTCAGACAGACGGGCGACAATGGAGGCCGCTGCCCCCCGCGGCGCCCGACGTCGCTGGAGGCCCGCCCGCTGGCAGCGCCGGGTGTCCGGGTGTCCGCGGCCCGTCGGGGTCCTGTATTGCCAGCCTCATTAGATGGCCCGCCCGCCAGCCTCAGATGTCTCAGACCAAACGGATGGAGGGGGAGCCGCAGTCTGCCTCCCAGAGCATGACGGGCACTGGAGCGTCAGACCAGTCCCTCCGCCCGATGCTGCACGCACCTCAGCCACTCCGACTCAGGCGGTCTGGGGCACGCTGCAAGGCGCCAGGCCCAGTACCCCCACCCCCTACATCGCGCGCGGCACACGCGGACGAGTCCCACCCCCACACCGGGCACGGCGCGGAACCGAGCGGCATTCAGCGCCCCTCCACCAGCGCCCGTGACACGCAAACAGCGACTCCCACATCGATTGTGATCGGCACGGGACGGCGGGCATACCCGGCGGGACGGGGGCGGGAGCGGGACGGGTGGTGACGGCTCCGACGCTTCCGACCGGGACAGCTGTCCGCCCGCGGCACCGCACCGCACTCAGCTGCTGAAGTCAATTCCTGCTGCGGTGTGTCGACGTGCCCGGGTCAGGTACGCGTGCATAAAAATATGCGTCGTACTTCCCATGAGGAAGGGGGTAGCTGCAAGCATACAGAGTAAGTATAAACGCTGAAGTCGATAAGTGATCGGTGTACTTGTGATTTTAATCAGGACAGCGAGCGCCTTGTCTCAGCTCCTGGATACGCGTTGTCCACGATACCGAAAGTTTATGGACGACTTCGATGAACAAAATTCCGTGGAAATAAATCAACCTGTCGTGACTAGCCTTAATGGACGTCAATTCCGACCAAAAATTACCATACAATGTTCCTGCACTATGACGTAAGTGCGCCAGGGCAATGGTGTTGTTCCAGGAGGACCACAACATAATGGCAACCTGAATGCCGAAATGGCTAGTGTGCGGCTATCAGTATCGTCTCAGGAAAATCCCGAAGTTGGCTTCATCTTTTTAGCGCTGGGATATTGCATGAGCTCATCATGCACAATTCAGGGCACGGACAGTCTCTTCATTCCGACCCAATAATCCACCTACATCAGCACTACAGAAACGGACAACAGCCTT